CCCAATAAAATGTAAAAATAAACCAAAAAACATGACAAAAAAAAAGGAATATATGATTAGGTATTACTGGCATGATAAGAGTCCAGAATAAGGGATACATAGTAAAGTGGACTGAGGGTGGGGGTGGGTGGGGGTGGTAGTGGTGGTGGTAGTGGTGGTGTATATAAAACAATGCATTTTTTCCCCAAAGAAAAAAGCAAACGGGGGGGACGGGAGCAGGGAGGAAAATGTGCAACAATGAATGAATGGAAATCCAAATTCTCTATAAACTTTAAGATCTCAATAAATTTAAAAAAAATAAAAAGCTCAACATTGAAATGTCATATGACTCAGATTTCACTGCTTAGAATGAGAACTGATGCACAGAGACCTGTAACATCAATGTTCACAGCAGCATTATTCACCAATGCAAGAACATAGAAACAAGCCCAGGTATTCAACCACAATCGAATGGACTCAGAAATTATGGTACATTCACACGGAATACTAAGCAACATGCAGAAGCAATGATTTTGTAAATTACTACCTAACTTGAAAGCGACTGGAGAGCATTAAGCTAACTGAACCAACTCAGTCCCATAAGGACAAATATATATTCTATAAGAACATTACCGTGGAATGAGTATGAGGATCTGGGGCTGGGGGGACAGAGGGGTGAAGATGGGCGGGAAGGGGGCTGTTAATCATAAGGTTGCACAATTTGATGGGTGGAGGAAGAGGGCAGTGAAGGAAATGGGATAGATCCAATGTGAAAAACAATATATATGAACTTTGTAAATCAGTACAAAAGAAAAATTTCTTTAAAAACCAAAACAAAACAAAAGGTATTTTAATAGGAGATCTAGGAGTTGGTAAGTATCTCTCATCAGACATAAAGTAAAAATTGATAGCTCTAACCTGATGAAATAGCTAAATATCTTAAGGAAAGCTGACTGTATAGACTTGATTCCTGATATCCTGGGAGATTATATGTCTATTATTTTTTAAAAATATATTATCAGGAGAGGCCAATTCA